TTCTTTCAGATCCCAAATGAGCAGCCATCTGTTATACAGGCCTTGCTGAGATGAGTTCCAGCACGAGATGTTACCGTCAAACATTAGTGCTCGTTTCTGTTTTGTTTTGCCCCTGCTTAAGAATAACCAGTTCATTGATTAATCCATAACATGCACTGGGATGGAAGATGGTTCAATAGTTAATTGTACTTTGGATGTCGGATTGTTATCGTCTTCGACCCACAACCTTCTCAAGGGGTACAACGGTGATAAGATCGAGTCTTTGTATTAAAAGACAAGCAGGCTGGTGTCCCATCACCTCTAACCTGAGGTCACTACATGCTCTCATCAGATTCAGCAGGTGTTCATGTCTGTGAATAGCTTTATCAGGTCATTAAGTGCTGGTTTGTAATTTACCAATGTAATTGGAATTGATAAGATCTGTTTATAGTGTCTGAGAGCCTCTTAAACCTGTGCAGTGGACATTATCCCTGTGGATAAGATAGTATAGGCCTGATTTGGGTCGGCATTCAGAGGGTAAAAGCAGTCATGTAGGGGGAATGCTTTTGGGATGTGAATGTCTAACCCAGGGCTGTGTCAGAAAACTTTGTAGTGAAATGATTTATGACCTCCTCACAATTCCTCACTGGGGTTTGAGTTCTCAGGGGCCTGTGAAAAGACACAACAATGCACAAATATGCTGTCCTTTCACCTACAGTGCAGTTTCTGCCGTAAAGGAGATTTTTGATTTGCATCGTCTCTGCATAGAACACCTGTATTTGCGTACTGTTTGCATCTGCTTTCTGTATATTGGGTATTGTGTTTAAAGTATATGAATTTTTTTGGCTTCAGCGGAATGTGAGCAGTTTGTTTATACACAAGTAAATAAAATATATATAAACAAAAAATGGTAACACTTTATTTTAAAGGGGTCCTATTATGCTCTTTTACAAAGTCTTGATTTTGTTTTGGGGGTGTACTAGAACATGCTCTCATGCTTGGTGGTTCGAAAAACGCATTATTTTTCACATAATTTACTTTATTAAAATACCTTTCTCCCCAGCCTGGCACAAACGTCTCGATTAGTTCCGGCTTTGATGAACTTCTTCATCGTCTCGTCTGATGCACTCAACCAAGCGTTCTAACCACAACCTCGCCCCTCCCCACCCCCCAACCATTCGAATTTCTGTAGGCGGGAATTATTTGTAAAGATATATTCCAATGAGCTGCTTTGTGATATCACAAAGCCCGGAAAACAAACACTGTAGTCCAAACGAGCCGTTCGTTGTAGTTCTTGAAAAGGGATTTAAAAAAAACGAAATATCTCCCTTTGGAGTGGACTTTGAGATTTGTAACTTTCTAGATCTTTTTTATGCTCAAACATACACACTACACACTGACTAAAATTAAAAAAGTGAAAAAGCATAATAGGACCCCTTTAAGGTGTCCGTGTTACACATGTTACATGTACTTACTATTATAATAACAATTAATTATGCATAATTACATGCAAGTAACCCTAAGCCAAACCCAAATCCTAACCCTAACTATATAATAAGTACATGTAGTTAATTAATATTACTCAGTACTTATGAATAATTACACTGTAACAAGGACACCTTAAAATAAAGTGTAACCCAAAAAATCTGTGAATCAGTAAAATACACAAAATTTTAAAAAGTAATGTCCTGCTTTGTATTAGGTGTCTTTAAATACTACTTAATAATAATATAATAAATTATTAGGTCAAATTTACCTACTGTGTTCATGTTGAATTGCAAATCACTTGCTGCTATTGAGAGGGGATACGGGTAAGGTTAGAGGCAGGTTTGGTGGTATGGTTAGGTTTTAGAGGTAGAGGTAAGGTCAACAGTGTAATTATAGATGTAAATAAAGAAATTAATTACAGGATTTAATTTTCAAGTATAAGTACAATGTAAAAATGTGTATGTACACAATAAGTGCATTGTATGAAATGATACATTTTAATGTAACTATTATGTAGTTAAGGACATTTAATATAAAGTGAGTCCAAAAGTAGAATATAAAAAAATAATTATAAATAAAAAATGTATAGTAAAATTATGTAATTTGTTTTCTTGATTTTTCCTTTTTTTTTTTTATTTACCTGTGCATTTATATAAACAAACATGCTTATGCATGCATATATAGTGTGTACAGTTGTGCTCATAAGTTTACATACCCCTTGCAGAATATGCAGAATGGTAAAGATGTTCAGAAAATGTGCAAGGAGCTGGAAGATTTTTCTGAAGAACCACAGGCAGTTGAACTGTTCAGGACCAACAAGGGACTCATGAACAACTATCACAAAACATAAAAACAGTCGTGGATCATCCAGGAAATTACACACGGTATTAATATTTAAGGGTATGTAAACTTTTGAACGGGGTCATTTTTACAAATTCAGTTATTATTTTGTCTTGTGGAGTATACAGTACTAAATAAAAAAAAAATAAGATGCAATTTTCATGATCCCTCTTATTTTGTTCAAATTATGAACATTTTGCATATTCTGCAAGGGGTATGTAAACTTATGTACAGCATGTGGAATTTTTTATTTACCTATGTATTATTATATAAAATAATACATGTATTATTGTATTATATAATGTGATACATATTATTTTTTATAGATTTATTTCTATATTTATGTTTTTTTATATTTATTACATTTGTTTGTTTATATAAATACACAAAAAATACAATGAATTGATATGCTATTAATTTAAATTATTACCCCATGAAACTTGATTTATTTCACTCATGGCATTTACAAAAGCCAGACCGCTAGGATCTGATGAAACCTGCATGTTGACCATATTAATACGCACATACCGTCATTCTCTGCCTTCAGACTGTTTACCTTTGCTACATGAATTTCCAAAGCTCATGTCCTTGTACCCCAGTATTGTAGTTTAGCATGACACGCTCTCGTCTTTGTCTGTTTTGTCTGTTTCCCTGGCTTTTACAAAGTGAAGCCTACAGTAACCTGTGATTTTGGTTTAGGGAGCAGGGTTATAAGGTAGAATAATGACTTTAGACCAAAGCAGTCTTGAAAAAGCCACATCAGATCATAAAACTCGAACTTTTATGACGGGGCGATTTAACAGCATGGGGACTGTTCTGCCTAAAGAACAGTGTGGCTGTAGGAAGCAGGAGGGAGGGCACTTTGCTCATTTTTATGGTGTTTTGCTTGATTAGCACATCCTGTTTCCTTTTCCTGTTTCTCTTGACACGTCGTCGTGGTCCTCTTCTAATTGTGGAAATGTAGGGGGCATGGCATGCTTGCACCTCCCAGATGTTTTAAACCCAACCGGGAGTCATATCTCGTATTTTTTCCCCAACAGATTCTTGGAAGTGAGATCAACATTTTTTTTTAAAGCCAGAATTGCGAAAGTGTTCATGTTTTTCCTGTTCCAAAGCTTCTGGCCATCTAACTCTCGCAGTAACTTTCTTCATGTCGTACTCTCTTGGGGATTTTCCATCATTTCTTTGGCCTTCGCAAAGCCAAAGGCATGCGAATGCTCTGCAGGAGGTGTTTGAGATGTTGCGTACAAATATTGCACACAATAATTCTGTCATGTTGTGTCTTCAACATCACTAAACAAAGTCAGGACTGTTAAATGAGGAACACAGCTGGTTGGCAGCTTTGCATTTCTTGAAGAGGGTTGCATGCAGTGCCAGACTTTAATTATTAAAGTACAAAAAGCAGTGTCGCCCAACCTGCTGCGTTCATGATCAGTACAAATGCAAAAACTGCTAGTGAACGTCTTTTGTGTTGTTGAGGGGTTGTTCCATGCTTCCATACGCTATTTTTTTCCTTCCCAAATTTGTGTTTCACAACATCAGCACCTTAATTGGCTGCATTAATTTTTCTTTTTATCATGTTGTTGGAGAATCTTGCTGGGTAATGATGCCTAAAATGGTTGTGTGAATTGACCTGAAATAAGACTTTAAAGGGGTCATATGATGCTGCTAAAAAGAACATTATTTGGTGTATTTGGTGTAATGAAATGTGTTTATGCGGTTTAAAGTTAAAAAAACACATTATTTTCCACATACTGTACATTATTGTTTCTCCTCTATGCCCCGCCTTTTTGAAACGCGTCGATTTTTACAAAACTAATCGGTCTGAAAAGCGAGGTGTGCTCTGATTGGCCAGCTATCCAATGCGTTGTGATTGGCCGAATACCTCAAGCATGAGACGGAAATGTTACGCCCCTCACAATATTGCTAATAATAATAATAATAATAATAATAATTATTATTATTATTATTATTATTATAACATCGATAGTATTGTAATTTAATAATAATAACAAGTATTATAAAATTGCATTGTTTTATTATACAGAATATTATTATTATTATTATAACAATTGTATTATTTTTATTATACAAATAATGATGATGATAATAATAATAATAATAATAATAATATAAATTATTATTATTCTTATTATTATTATAACATTATTATTATAACAATTACATGGTTTGTTTTTATTATAAATGGCTACATTTTATTGCGCAAACATGTTGCAGGTATTTGAGTTTTCAGTGTCCCAGTGTTTAGTGGATCTGAATTTGTGTTCACGATAAACTAATTCACATCATATGGAACTAAGGAGCCCAAATCTGAGTCAATGTATAATCTTCACTGTCTATGACAACACCAGAGAGTTATTGAGCATCTGCCTTTCTTTTATCCACTTTGTTGTGTTCATGTTATCTACTAAAATACTGAAGTAATCTGACTTAGCCTGTGTAAGATCTGTTCGTCTTCCCTTTGAGGGTGTTAACTCTCAAGGTTTTCATTTGTTGTAGCCGTGGTTTGTTTGCTCTCTACACAGGATTTTCCCTTAGGCAGGGCATTAGTGACCATATCTCAAAGGCTCTGAGGTCTTTATCATAAAGCTATTGGTTTATTTCAGCTCTGATCCTAGAGGTATCCCCACAGGAAGTTTTCTCAAATGGTTTGTTGTCATATTTATCCACAGGTAGTCTCAAAGGAGCCACCATTGTGGATGCACTGGACACGCTCTACATTATGGAGATGTATGACGAATTCGAGGCTGCTACCGAGTGGGTGGACAGGAACCTAGACTTTAACATGGTAAGCCTTTTATTTATTATTAATTTTTGTTTTTATCCTTACAAATACTTCTTTGCTATAAATGTGACCCTGAATGATGCAACAGAACCAGAATAATGACTTTTTGATGAAGCTTTGAGAACTCGTCTATGTCGTCTCCAGTGTTGAAGGAATAAGTCGACCTTCACTCTTTTGGGGAGATTTTAGCATCACTGCTTGTTAACCAGCCAATAATACTCTGATTCACGAGTCTGGTGTTAATGTTTAAGGAGACTTTCCACATCTGAGCCAACAAAAAACATCTCAAGGCTTCATAAACTATCTCGTCTCATGCTTTCTGCCATTTTTCAGCACTAAATTTTAATTCCAGACTCCAAGTCCCTGAAATTTGTTTGTTAACTCCATGAATTACAGTTCAGTCCAGATGTTTTTTTTTTCAGTAATAATCATGTTAACATGACTTAAATGAGTGACATTATGAGGAATCATAGCTTTTAGAAGAAATGCAGTGTTTTCAAGTCTCTGCCTGTTTTAGAGGCTTGTTCCAGTGCTGATTGTTTTGTGTTCCTGTTACAATGTAATGCAAAAAGTGTCTGTTATTGATGGATGAGGCAGTTAAAAACAATGTAGACCCGATAACAAACCGTAGCTAATGTGTGAGCAGACTTACAGAAAGCAGAATTGTTGTACATTTCACATGCAAAATAATAAGTAGAAAGAATAGGAGGACACAAAAAGGCAGTCAGGATATTTATAGTGTAACAAAATATTTATTTCAAATTAGGGCTCTCGAAAAAAAATCTCGATTTTTTCAGAACATTTGACCGATTCTCGATTTTTTTACGATTTTTAACTAGTCAACTGGAAAATGTAACTACAACATGATTCAAGTAACTTTTTCTTTATTAACCCTCTAGTTAAAGAAAATCATATTCCAAGTGCACCACACATGAAGTTGTCAACATGATAAATGTTTAACTAATCACTTGTTAAATATCTTTGCAGAAAAGATGCAGGAAATTCAACTACATCTTGAACAAACTTGTCTTATGCATATTATATGTTGAGAAATAATACGAGGAAAGTGCTTTAAAAAAATCTCAAAAGTCAAGGTAATTCAAATTCAAAATGACTGAAGGTATAACACCAGTAGACTATTATTAACTATATGTTCAATAAAAACAACAGCCTGTCACCATGATGCAAACATGAAACATCAGACATACAGTAACGTTAGTATTTACAGGTGTTTTTTTTTTTATTAGCTTGCGCTGCTTTTCCATTGTTTTTTTCTATGTAAACATGGATGTGTTTGACTGTTGCGCTCGTGTCTCTTGCAGTGTCTCATGCATGAAACGACATTCTAAAAAAACTGCGCTCAAGTTAAAAGAAGTTCACTCTCATCTTCTTGCATGTTTTTCCTATTCCACTCTTTGTCAACACAAAACCGCATTCTGTGTGAATGGCACCTAGCGATATAAGAGTTCTTTTCTCTTTACTGTTATCATTGGCATATTGTCAAAGTGTCTAATTCTGATGCTGGGTAATATTTCTATTCAAAAATTTTTAAAGGATCTTGTGCATAAATTACATTTTAAAATATATTAAAAAAGGAAAACTTATTTTAATTTGTAATATTTCACAATATTGCGGTTTATGTATTTTTGATTAAAAAAATGCAGCCTTAGTGAGCAGAGAGACTTACAAAAACATTAAAACATTCTCAACAGTTTTTATATTATTTATTATATAATTTATAAGGAGAATTTGCATATAATTCTAATGGGAAAAAAGTATTGACAGCTATTTTCTACTTTGTATGTGACTCATCCAACTAGATTTTAGAGGTGGAATTATCTGGCTTTTATAATCGTCAATACCTCTTCAGTAATATGAGAAGTGCTGAACTGTTTCATCTTCAGAACTGCACCCAGTAGGGAAACAGAAGGACTGAGAGCAGCATCTGATTAATCATGAAAAAAGGGAATCGATACTGCATGCAGATCAGTCCAGAAATGACTAAACAAAGTTGGTGAACGAATTAAGACAAAAATAACGCTTTGTTTGATGTTCGATTGGTTCTCTGCCTCTGTATCGTGAGGTAATTTCATTAGACATTCTGCAGGGCTTTACCACTAGTTAAGCATCGGAAGTCCTTCAGTACATCCTGCACCTCAATTTAAGGCAAGAGAGAAGACTGTATCTGGGTCCAATCCTTTAATGAAGAATGTTAAACAACTTTTAATTGAAAGGCTTTTCTTTCTACCCTCAAGCAATTCCAACAATGAAAGAGTCCACAAAAATCCCCTGTGAAGCAGTTATTAATATTCAGCTTGTCTCTTGAATACTAAGCAACCCATTTCTGATGCACGGAAGCCTCTTGTTTTAGCAGAATAATTGTAGGCATTGGAAGTTTATTAATGCGGCTTCATTTGACCTCCGCTATCATCCGGTTGTCTTTGAGAAGCTAAAAGTTGTTTTGCTGTGTAAGTAAAGGTTATCTGTGAATCACACTTGTATTATCATCTAGAACACCTAGAGTTTCAAAGCAGTTTGAAGGTTTTCCCAAATCTCTTTGGCAACTCATTGATCATTTTGGGAGATATGATTAATCTTTGTTTATCCTCGGTATTTTAGTTGTCCAGCGTTTTAGGTCTGTCGGGTCATTCCTGAATCCTCATTAGCACATTCCCTTGTTTTATAAGTTCTGATCAGATTGCTTTACAGAGAAATCCGACCCTGGAGCAGAACGGAGGAGGAGAAGTCACTTCACTGTATCAACAGTCTTGATCTCTCATCTTTTATGCTGTGGGATTCTTTTATTCCTGTAAAAGCCAGCATCATCGATGGTCAGATTCAGCCACTGCTGTAAAATACCCGCTATGTTGCAGTGACCACAAATCCCACCTGAACTCGAACCCGAGTGAGATAACCTTTCAGACAGAGACACTATACCGCTGGTGGATCGAAAAACCTCATAAAAAGCATAAAAATAGAAATCCCTTCCCTTTTTATAAGTCGTAACAATCAGAGACACGCCATTAGATACAGAACCCAAGCACAGTGTGGTTCATTGTGTCCATCTGTTTCCATTCTCTCATTTGAAGTTTGCATTAGAGAGGGACTGATAATTGAAGAAGTTACTTATGACTTGCATTTTAAGTTTATTAGCTTATTTTTATTATCAATAATTTTTTTTTATTTAATCGGTATATGTAACCTAAAAAAGTTTTTGGGATCAGTGATCCAATGCGGTGGTGTTTAATGAGGAGGCATTTATATACATACATACATACATACATACATACACACATATATATACATATATATACATATATATATATGCTGTATCGATTTTTTCCCCCCACTCCTAATAAACACAGATGCTAAATGCTGCTGCTAATATGCTTAATATTTCGCAGCTGCATACCATATGTATATATGTATATGTATGTATAT